CTTAGCTTCAGCATAGCTAGTGGTAGGTCTCCAGGAGCAGGGTTGGGTAGGGATGCAAATAAATCACATCATACATCCTGTTGGGTCCAGCTTGCTCATTGTGAACTTAGTCTTCCCATGACCAGTAATGCAAAGAAAGAAGTTGCTTCTGTGCTGGTGCAAGCTGCTTTAAGGTAAAATATGTAGTAAAATATAATATCAGACGTTGCTCGCTGAATGTCATTATAGGACATAAACATAGAGCAATTAGCAAACAGCAGTGCTGTGATCTAGAACTGGTGAATTCACTTGCAAACCTGCTAGATGCATCCTAATTGACGTCAACAGACATGCTCAGGCAGTGACATCATGTGGTTGGTCATATATGGAGGATTTAATTAGCAATGAATCAGATTAGCTACTTTTTCTCCTAAGGACAAAATTAATTTCTGTCAGCTAAACGTAGGTGTTTTTATAGCCTGTGAGCCTGAGTGAAAAGCAGAACCTACTGGTGAACTTGACGTTGCATGTTATACGCGTCACAGTCGCTGGTTAGGTTTTATTTTTTGAAGTCTCTAAAGTCTCTATGACCTTGCACATGATCGGCACCCTAATGTAAGACAGAGCAGGAAATGCATGCGTTATGATCATTATAATTTAAGAAAGCATTAGTGTGCCTCCGTGCACGAACACACACCAGCACCCCCGTCAGCCTCTGTCACTAATTCTGTAGGGAACACTGGGTATAAATGAAGGGTGTAACGGTTCTGAAACTGAGACCGAAACCACAACGCAAACGTTCACAATCTCGTGTCATCCCCCCCGCCGCAATCCGCTACCACGCGTGCAACCTGTTGAGCTCACAAAAGTCATTTTTCATTTCACAATTAACACTATAAAACATGTAAATCACAAAATTTATTCTACTTAAAGTTAGGAGCAAGCTGTATATTTTGTAAATATGGGAGTGAAGAAGGTGTTCATCCCAGGTGTACCTACACTGTATTGCCAAAGGTATTGAGACACCAGCCTTTACACACACATGAACTTTAATGACATACCATTCTTAATACAGAGGCTTTAATATGGAGTTGGCCCACCCTTAGCAGCTATAACAGCTTCAACTCTTCTGGGAAGGGCTGTCCATGAGGTTTAGGAGTGTGATTATGGGAATTTTTGACCATTCTTCCAGGAAAGCATTTGTGAGGTCAGGCACTGATGTTAGGCCTGGCTCGCCGTCTGCACTCTAATTCATCCCAACGGTGTTCTTTCGGGTTGAGGTCAAGGCTCTGTGCAGGCCAGTCAAGTTACTCCACATCAGACTTGCTCATTCATGTCCTTATGGACCTTGAATGTTGGAACAGGAAGGGCCTTCCCCAAACTGTTCCCACAAAGTTGGGAGCATGAAATTGTCCAAAATGGCTTTGAATGCTGCAGAATTAAGAATTCCTTTCACTGGTATTAAGGGGCCAAGCCCAACCCCTGAAAAACTACCCCACACCATAATCCCCCCTCCACCAAACTTTACACGTGGCACAATGCAATCAGGCAAGTACCATTCTTCTGGAAACCACCGAACCCAGACACATCCATTGGATTGCTAGACAGAGAAGCGTGATTCATCACATCACTGCTCTAAAGTCCAGTGGTGGCATGCTTTACACCACTGCATCCGACACTTTACATTACATTTGGTGATGTACACTCACCTAAAGGATTATTAGGAACACCATACTAATACGGTGTTTGACCCCCTTTCACCTTCAGAACTGCCTTAATTCTACATGGCATTGATTCAACAAGGTGCTGAAAGCATTCTTTAGAAATGTTGGAAGATATTGATAGGATAGCATCTTGCAGTTGATGGAGATTTGTGGGATGCACATCCAGGGCACGAAGC